CGCCGCTTTTGAAACTGATTTTAAAGAGAGAAGAAGGGAATGGGAAAAAGAGAAACATCAATGTGAGAGTGGAACCTTGATCAGCTGCCTCCTGCAGACCCCCTACTGGGAATCCAGCCTGAAACCCCGGCATGTGCCCTGACAGGGAATCCAACCTGCCCCTTTCAATATATGGGTTGACGCGCCAACCAACTGAGCCACACTGGTCAGGGCGAGCCCTTCCCCTCGGTTGCCAGGGCTCATCTCTCCTTTGTAACCTAAAAGGGCCCGTGACTCAGATGAGGAAACAGCAAAGTGACTCAGCTCAGGTCACACAGCTGAACCCAGAGCCCGACTCTTCCTGCTCTACCAGGGCCTCCTGTACTCATGCCTGGTCCTTCTCCTCTGCTGCCCAGGACACAGTGTCAGCACTGGGGACCCGGGGCAGCTGGGAGTGTAGACACAGCTGAACTGGATTGGCGAATACCTGGAAATGGCCATCCTCCAACAGCTGAGGGGAAATGCCCTCAATTTCCTTTTGGATTAGCTAAGAAATAAAAACAAACTATGTGCCTTCTGTCCTAGTTCCTAGTGGATATTGTCGGTAGAGGTAGTTAATGCAAATTCAAAGAGACCATAGCCCCAAGGACTCACAGTAAAATTCATTACAGGTAAAAGGCTGACTAAACAACCCCACTTTGTTAGGAATCTTGAAAATTGCAGAAGCTGATCAGAGAAAATTAGACTTAGTAAAAACAATCACAATGTTAAAACCACACACGGCAAAACCTGTTACTGATGAAGAATTGACAGAAGAATAAAATTTTTATAAATCTTAGATCAGTAACCTTTGACCCTGGAAGACTGGATTTGGCCAAAGAAGGAGGAAGAAGTGAAGGGAAGAAAAAAACCCTACAACTAAATCATAACAGGAGGAATGTGTAATGATGGAATGTTCAGAATAGGCAAATCCATAGAGACAGAAAGTGGATTCATGGTTGCTAGGAGCTGGGGGAGGGGGAGTGGGGACTGCCTGCTCATGGGCATGGGGTTTCTGTTTGAGGTGATGAAAATGTTCTGCAATTAGATTGTGATGATGGTTGCACAATTCTGCTAAAAGCCACTGGATTGTATGCTTTCAATGGGTGAATTGTACGGCATGTGAATTATATTTCAATCAAGCTACTGAAAATGTAGTATGGACAAAATCAAACCCATCGATGAATCCCATCTTTGTTGGATAATTCTTTTGAAAAAGAACCGATTCTGATGAAAATAACTCCAGTAAAATAGAAAGAAAAGTGTTGGCAACAGTTTAACTGCCCTGCATAGCAAATTGACCAAGAAATTAAGTGGGTTCGATGGGGTTCGCTCTGGACAGTACTTGTACGATGAAAATTCATCAGCATAGGTATCATTCTGATGTAAATGCCTTTGTCCTCAAGTCCCAGAGGTCCTATTTGTCCTCTGTGCTCCCCTCCCCCACCCTAGGGAAGAGGTTTTGACACAGCCCAGGCCGAGGTGGAGCCCTCTTTCTGGCCATGGGGCTTCAGGATGGTGGGAAATCCCATCCTCACTAGATTGCCACAGTGCTCACCTCGCTTTGCAAAGCGTTTCTTACGCCTCATTTTGGCCCGGCGTCCAGCGAACAGGGCACTGACCTTCTCAGTCCGGGCTGCCTGGCTGTCAGTATCTGCAACCCCACAGCGGGGCAGTGTCATCTGGTGGAGGGTGGCAGGGTCCAGCACGCCACTGATGGGCAGCTGGGACACCCACTGGAACTCCCTGTCAGGAGGAAGTGAGATAAAGGACCACAAAGGGAGGGTGGGTGGTGAGAGCGGGGAGCTTCCCTGGATACAGCAGGAGGATGGGGCAGGTGAGAGTGGGAGTTTCGGGGGAGGAACAATGGAGCAGGGCCCTCTCAACACACATGGGGGCAGCCTTCCCCCAGGAGGGAGGAGATGCCCTAAGCTTATACCCAGCACTCCCAAACCCTCATAGCCCTCCATCCTACCTGATGGCATTGCTGAATCGCGTGGAGGAGGGAGCTTCGGGTGCCTGTTCACTGAGGTA